CAGGTCATGTCTAAATTTTAGAGGGTCACTCTTTAATTCCTTGCTGCTATTCAGTCGCATGATGTCGGATGAAAAGGTTCAGTTTCGTCGGTTTTCAGCCTTTTTTTTTTGTTTTGTTTTTGGTAGTACTTGTTTCTGGGTTTGATCAGAGAAGGAGTTGGAGTTTGGAAGCAGTGAGCAAAAACCCAAGGCTTGTTTGACATATTTGATGCAAATGAGTCCATGGCCGTATCTTTTTGGCCGGCCCTTTTCTCAGTGCAACGCTTACAAAACTGTGTGCATAGCCCAGCCTCGTACAAGCTGTCACTGTAAACATGTGACTGTGGGTGCGTAGTTTGATGCTTTAGGTAATGTTTCACCAGCAATGACCTTTGCTTTCGCTCAGCCTCCTCCTTTACTTGCGGGCTTCATTGTCAAAAACTTACCTGGTCTCTTTTTTTTTTTTTTTTTTATTCTCTGTTTTGTCCGAGCCAGCAGATCCTCCCCTGTTCCCTCCCCTAATTGCTTAGTAGAGGAATGAAAGAGGCTTGGCTGTATGCATCGACCTCACCATGTGATGGTCACATATTAGGTCCATCCCCTACCACTGAACTATTATTTATTCAATAGGGTGATTCTTTGAAAAGGAAAACAAAAAACAGCTGCTGCATTCTTGGTTTTGCTCTGTAATGGATACAGGCTGAAAGGGGAAAATCCACAGGCTTAGCCACAGCCTAATTATGAACTCTTTACTTTGGAGTTTGAACATTTCTAAGAGGTTAGAAATCTGAAGAAACTAGTTTTACTCATCAGTATAAATCACATCAGACCTCCACTTTTGGTACCTTACTTAAGTATCCATGATTGATGTACAGTAACAAAAAGATGCATTACATCAACTATTCTTTTTTTTTTTCTCCTTTCTTGCTCTCTGCTTAGTCAGACTTTAACAGTATATTTTTTTAAAGTCTTGCCACAGATTAAGTAAGCTCTATTATAGCTCCGGAAACTTCTCTCAGGTTTTCTTCCAGTGATGTCCTGTCCAGATTTAGGTATGTCCAGTTAACTGGTTAATAGGGTTGGGCATCAAGAGTTGATAATCGATCAGAACGGGTTCTAACCTTTCCAGAATCATTCAATTAAAAAAAAAATGTAGTTCCTAGTTTCAATTCCCAGTCTTTCAACTGGAAATAGAAGCTGCTTAATATTAGTGAAGAGGCCAAGGGAGCGAGTGCGCAAATAACTGTTCTCACTGCAGTATTCGAAAATGTTGCTTAAAGTTACATTTAAAAATGACCAGTCGGCTACCTGTTGCACCGGCTATGGGGTGGTGAACGGCCGATGTAATTAAACACCTCTGAACTCATAATAAGAGCCGTGTCTTTGACCCACTGCACCAATGCTGTAAGGTAGGTTCCCCAAGGGAATTTGTTCCTCCTCTAAATTCGTAGCGCACCTTATGCAGGGAGAACTGAGCCTTTTTTATATTTCCTCTTACTTTAAATCTTAACAGATGATTAAAATATATCTGCTGAACTTATGAACAATTTTAAGCGCAACTTTTCCAATGCTTATTTAGCTGATTTGGTATCTTTTTCATATGATAAAACCCACCAACTGAGATGCAAAATTGCATCATTCAATCACTATTTCCACGTCTAATTTAGTGGAACTGGGGTGCAGTAAGCGATGCTGAGGATATAAACATTGTCAGGATGCCTTCCTGCTGCAAAGCTTCTTCCTTCAGCTCAAACACTCAGCCTAGCACCACACTATAGTCAGAATCGGGTACATAAAATAAGTCTTATATGGCATAAGTACCTGCAAAGTCAGACGGTGTATTCTAATGTGTTATTAGGAGGTTTTAAGGCAGCTGAGCTTTTTAGGTTCCAAACAGATTGAAGAGAGAAGATAACTGGGGTAAAACATTTCAAGGAAGGCAGATCACCTCGATTTCCAGGAAAAATCAACAAATCTCAGGTCAGTTGAAAACTAAGAGAGAAAGTAAGTGTTAGGTGTAGAGATGCACCGATCCAGTTTTTCTTTTTTCTTTTTTTTCCACCATCCAATCTTATACCGATAACTGGGTTGAGCATATCTGCCAATACAGACCTGATACTAGGGTTGTCAAAAGTATCGATATTCAAAAAAGTATCGATACTGAAACGTTGTATCTGGATACCATACTCATTTTCAAAAGTATCGATACAGTGCTAAGCAGTCATTCATCTAAAGTGCAGAATAGAGGCACTCTCTGAACACTGTGTGATTAAATAATTCTGTGCATTTTTCAGTTTCAGACTTTTTTTGCAAGAGGTGCAGCCGCTGAGAATTATTTTTGTTTCTTAACAGGTTTGGCTAGTGTCATTGTTTTTTATCAAGCTTGCTTAATATTGTGCACAGCATACAACCTCAAAATATTGTTCTTATTGTTTATTGTATTTATTTATTGTATTTTATTTATTAATGAAAATATTTTTGTTGAATTTTGCAGTCTTTGTTTTTATCCTTGTGGTATCAAAAATGGTATCGAGTATCGAATATTTTCCTTAGTATTGGTATCGAGTTGAAAAGTTTAGTATCGTGACAACCCTACCTGATACTGCTCCTTAATGTATTCAATTCAGTTTATTTATATAGTCATCTCAAGGCACTTTACAGTTCACCAGATCTTACAGTTAAATTGATTAAAAGTTTTCTTTCCAAGGAAAACCAGTTGATTGCATCGACTCATTGACTCTAATGCAATCCCTCATAAATGATATATCCAGTCATGAGTGAAGGCTTGACATAAACGTCAAAAAACAAACAAAAAAAAAGTTATATGACTATCATCACTAGATGCTGTGTGATGACTTCAAACAGGGAGTTGAAATTATTAGATATCTGTAGCTGGATCGCCGACGTTAATAAAAAAAATAAATGACTGGAATCAGCATATTTCATCTAATCTCTGATCCAACTGATCGGTCTGTATCTTGGTGTTGGATCGGTGCGCCTCTAGTTAGATGACAAGGCTCCATACTGCAGAGCTGGTCTATTTTCTTTTATTCCCCCCCCCCCAATTTTGGAAGCTACTTGATAAAATAAAAAAAAAATGTTTTTACCATAAGTATAAAGTAGGGGTGGAACAGTTCACAAAATCCACGGTTCGGTTCGGTTTACGGTTTCGTGGTTACTGTTTTTGGTTCTGTTCGGTATATGTTGATTGTTACACCGAAATCCCATAAAAATTAATGAAATTAATGAAAAAATCCAAAAAAATTAATAAATTGTAATTATTTTAAATGATCCGCGGAAACCCTGTTTCAATTCCGGATGTTTTGCTGCTTTGAATTTAATCATCTCGCGCATGCCCTCTACGATCTCCAAGGAACTCAGAGCGGAGCGGACGGGAGCCACAGTAGAGGCTGTAGGCTTTGCTTTGCCCAGGCGGTTTGGTGCGCAGCGGGGTGGAGAGGAGCGCTGACGGAGTATGTGGGATTTCGGGGTTAGCATGACATGTTGGTCATGTTGCTGTTAGCATAAACAAAAGGTGTTGCACAATGCTTGCACACTGTTGCACTTTTATCCACAACTTTCTTTCCGCCGTCATCGTAGGTCACTCTAAATGCAAAGCGGTCCCATACAGCAGACCTATAAAGTGCTGCTGGTGCGTCTTCCAACTCCTGTTCTTTCCTACTCGCCATACCGACACAATTCTCCACAACAACTGATTTTTTTCTGCTACACCCTGCTATGCTGCTTCGCTTCTTCTTCTTGTTTACTACTGGTGGTTGGCTTTGGTTGCAGTACCGCCACCTTCTGCTCTGGATGTACACGCTTCGCCTATGAGAAAAAGGAGCAGCGCATGAACCGAACGAAACACACGCGAATCCGACCGAGACAGTCGAACCGAACGATTCGGAAGGTTTCCAAAACCGTTCCATCCCTAGTATAAAGGCAGTGTGTCATTCACAAAAACACTGCTTTCCAGAGATTGAATATATAGAGGTTAATGGAGAGGCAATCTTTTTTTTTTTTTTTTTTTTCTCAAACTTGTCTGAGTATGACATATTGAAAGAAACCAGGAGGGTTTGAAGCCGTTATTTTTCATAGAAACCTTTCTAACCAAATGACCAGACTGTATGTGTCCCTGGTGGGAAGGGATACAGGAAAGGAATGAATATCAAGTCAAGCATGGAGCTGGACTCCCCTCCCCTTAAAGGGCCGGTGATTACCCAACTCTCATGAAGGGGGTGTAGTCTTCCATGTCTTTCCTGTGTTTTTTTTTTTCTTCCCCTCGTCCCTGAACCCATTATAAAAGTTCTCTAGAGAGCGTGCCAAGTCCTTTTGTCTAAAAGTGGAAAGTTGAGCCTGAAGACAAGCTCTCCTTTCTTCCCCCTGCCTTACTTTTTTCCGCTCTTTCCCCTAACAGCCATGTTTTTTCTTTTTCTTTCCCGTCTGTGTCTGGACGGAGCTGCTCTGCTATTGGGCCATGTCACAAATGCAGTCCTTTTATGATAAATGAGGTTGCCATAGCAATGACATTCCCCTCTCTCCTCCAATGAGGTGGGGGGCAGGGGGAAATGCATGCACAATCGTTTTCCCCTCCTCACTGGTCCACGGAAGAGTTACTCTGATAACCAGTCAAATTTTCAGAATGGATCCTCTGGATGTTTTCCCTCCCAACACCTTTGAGTGCGCTGAGGAAAAGGGGTGGGGATGAAGAGGAAGGCATTTCCAGTGCCTGATCATTTCAGTGTGTGTTCGCATGAGTCAGAAAGTGGCTCTACAGCTCGGCTACGGTTTTTTTGTTGTTGTTGTTTTTTAACGGGAAAGTCAGTTTCCCACCATTGTTTTGGTCGAGGCTGATGGGGCTGCCGCGCTCTCTGAGGCAATCGCTGCGTGTTTGAGACGGATTTTACCAGAGATGAATATGAAGGCTGCATGAGCTTGTAAACCCTGTGTGTATCCATCCGCCTGGCTGGACGGGTCTCACTTTTCCATCTTCTGCTTTTGGACTTTTTTTTTTTTTTGGAACATTATTGCCCTTGCATTGGCCCTCTTAACAGTCCCAGCTGAAGTGTTTAGCTACAGGTCTGCATGTCATGGGCTGCGTCTTCTCTCTGCCAGAGGACAGGAGAGATGCTGCTGAGAGGTCAGTAAAGTTTATAGTTTGTTGCTTCAAACTAAGAGGAAAGACCTTTCAGAGACTGTTGGACAAAGTCGCATTTCAAACGTATTTGTTTCTTTTTTTATACTGAAAAGACTGTATGATAGAAAATATATGGTACAGAGAAGTTACATAAGAGATGGAGGTGATTATCTGCAAACGTAACTGAATTAGCTTGTAATTAACTGCTCTACAGGCTTAATGATTTCCCGCTCGGGTTATTTGCAGATTTCCATCGTGATTGAATTTTATTTTTGAAAAAATCCAGTCAGAAAGTTTCTTACTGCTTGTTGCAACATAACTCCATCAGCTTACTTAAACTAAGGTACATCAAACGGAAGCTGTTCTGGGTCTACAGTTTGTCGACATTCACGTATTCTGCATGGGGCAATGGACCCACCCTCTATCTGGCTGGAGAGTCGGTACAGGCCTAAATCTGATCAGGATATTTAGTGCAGATCCATCCATATTGTTTTGTTATTTAAGGCTGATACAGGTTATTTTAGGCAAGTCTAACCAATTCCTGATACGTGCTGACATTTTTTTTTTTGCTTCCTCTATATTTACCTGATAACAAATCAAACAAAACATTAAGAACAACAAATGAAGGAAGGGAGAAACGATGCATGTCCTCCATGTGATCTCAAGGCATGGCAGCTTGATGCACTATTGAGTCAGCATAAACGTATCGGCTGATGCTAATACAAACAATACAATTGTTAAATACATGAGCCAAAAAGTATTGGCCGCCCAATTGATCAGTTTATATTTAGTGCAGCAATGCACTAATCTTTAATCAAACACTCTTTTTGTTCATAATCTAAGGAAAACAAAAATAAGTAAACCAACACTAGATATGCTGTGTGGGTCAATTGTATTAAATTGTGCAGCTATTTGATAAAACTGGTGTTAATTAATGTTTACATAATCGCAGCATTACCTGAGGCATCATTATTACACAGTAATATGTTTCAGATTGAAAAACTTAAATCTCAACCGTACCACTTGCTTCCATCCATATGAAGTGTGGCTCTCATTTATCAAAGGTATAAGATTAGATGAATCCATGATGGAACTAAATTTAACCTCATAGTTGTCTTAAGTTACAGTTAACACCGTTAAATGTGATTTTTACTTTAGATCTAGTAGTATTTCAGTTTATATTTTAGATTAACCTTATTTTAAACTCTATTAACCTTGAATTGCAGCCCTCCCTATAGTGTAACTGTGGTGCATTTACTGTGAACTGATATGGACTCTGTTCACGCTTACAAGAGAGTCGGGTTTGGTCATTGCTTCTCTACACTGTGTGCTGTCGATCTTAAGTTTGGTCAAACTGCTGTAAAAACTAGACTCCGTTTCTTCCTGATTTTTATTCATCCGGAGATTTTTCAGACAGCTGCTCAGCCATCTTGGCTGTGCAGCTGTTTTTATGCTGTGAAAATCAGGGAACATTTCCCTCGTGTGTCTGCAGTCGTGTTCAAAGTGTACGCTTTTATCAATGAAAGCAAATCCACAGGTGTCTGCTCTGCTCTTTGATGCTCTTCGAAGCGGCGATGCCTCTCATTACCTCAAAAAATTGATTTAACTTCCTGGGCCTCTTTCTACCCACCGAATGCTGTGCATAGGCTGTTTTGTGTCAATGCATTAATTACTCTACTCATGGAAATGTTTGAATTGCCATGACTTCTGCCCCCATGGCGATCAACTCACTTCCCTTTTTAATACTGAAACCTTATCTAGAACATGATTAAGCGTTCGCTCCAGCACAGTACTTGGCTCTATCTCACTAGCTATTACTCTCTCACCTATTTGTTCTGCATAAATCCTTATCTTTTGCTCAGTAAATGTTTCTCATTGATTTTCATGGCTTCGGTCTGAACTTCGCGTGCTTTTTCCCTAACCGGGTTTAGTCTGTAAACAGGTCAAATCTCTGATCTAGAATCAGCTTACAGATGTCCCCTGGATAGATCACTAAATGGATAAAAAAGTCATAGCTTAGCGCCTCTGTTTAAATATGCTACATTCTGTTAGAAAATCACTTGTTTATTAACTTTTTTTTAAAAAACATTCCGTTTACCTATTTATTTATTTTCAGAGCACCCACCTCTCGGGAAACGAGTTTCATCGAAAAAATGAAAAAAACCGTAAGTGTTTTTTTTCTTTTTTCTATTTGTTTGAGGCTAACAGCGCCACAGTTATCTCCTGATTTCAAAACCCTATATAAGACTTCTGTGGTCCTGTTTCCTGTCAGAATCCTGTGGTTTAGCAGCAAATGGCTCGGATACCATAATGGTTGACGAGGAGACTTTAGTTATTGTAGCAACAATTCATAAATACATGATTATATTTTTGTTTTGATTTATTTATTTTTCCTGCCATAAAGCTAGAGTTTATGTAATAGATGTGGCATAATTTAAAGTGCAGATTCTTCTTCTCCGTGTTCAAAACATGAGCCTCTTCTTGTTCTCAGGGAAAGAACATCATTGTTTTCTACGGCTCTCAGACGGGCACAGCTGAGGAATTTGCCAGCAGGCTGGCCAAAGACGCTCAGCGCTACGGCATGAAAGGAATGGCTGCCGATCCGGAGGAATACAGCATGGTAATCTGCATCAGAGGAGCCACTTACATGATGTGTGCAGAAAATATAAGTGATCAGTTTGCTGCTTCTGTGTTAATATGATCTAAATATTTAACACTAATCATCATATACCATAAATGTGTTTTCCCCACATCACTGATAAAAGCAGAGCATGCTTTGACTGATTTTTTTTTTGTGTTTTTTTTTTGGGCAGATTTGCTCTAAGTGGTTAGTGGTGGTGAGTTTAATGTCATGTTAAATGTTGGTCCTTCTCATCCCTTTGTGAGTTTAGGGGGAACTGGCCCGTCTGGCGGAGATCCAGAACTCCCTGGCCATATTTTGCATGGCCACATACGGAGAGGGAGACCCCACGGATAACGCCCAGGACTTTTACGACTGGCTGCAGGAGAACGACGATGAAGACCTTTCTGGGCTGAACTACACAGTGAGTCTTCATCATCACGGATTTTTTTTTTATTTTAAAGCGAAAGGACCTTAGTTGTTCAGGTTGATCTGTATCATAATGATGTACCTATGGTGCACCTGCAGCTCCACTTCCTCTCTCTAATGTCCCAGTTTTTTTTTTTTTTTGGCCACATTTTCATCTAAAATTACTAATTTAAATACCTCAGTTACGTACCCAACACACTATTATTACACAGGCAAATATTAAAATCTGGTTATTTAAATTTTTTTGTATACTTTTATGTATACCCCTCCCTGTACTGAGGATGGAAATTAGACTAACTTGTTAAATCTTATATATTTACATGTTGATTGACGAGGAATATGTCACCTAATAAATATATCAGCCAATTACTGCTGTTTTCTTGTACCGGTAGCCTCTATTTTCACAACTGATTGTTGTGATATAGCTGTTACGATTCAGCCTCTCTTTCATTATGTTTGACTTAGATTTTTAAAAGCATAAACACTGGTTTCCACATTCTTCAGCATTTTCTATAGTTTCTATATAAATTAAAATTTTGATAGTATTCTAAAACTTGTGTTTATGTAGGATCCAAAACTTTTTATCTGGTTACAGCCGCCAACCCTTATGTATTTTATTAATATTTTGATGCTAAACACGTTTGGCTCAGAGCTGTAATGATGCAGCAAAATTTTGTTGTTTAAAGTAAACTGATTTCTTTTTTTTATTTTATTTTATTCTTCTGCATCATTTGTGGTGTTTTTTAATAAGAGAGCTCTTAAACTGAACTGGTTCTCATTCTGGTTTACTTCCCGACCGCAGACCCACATTATTAGATCAATGTAAACCTCTAGGTTATTTATTGTTTATCCTGTGTTGCAGATATTATTTATCCCTGTTTCTTTGCTATATCACCACCTAAACTTATTAATGCTGTTTAAAACAGTTAGCAGAACCTGTTAATGCATGAAGATTTGTTAGACGCATGAATGTTTATAAAGACAAATTGTGTTCGAGAAAATAGTCAGAAATTAATTTTTTGATTCAGTTGAAAATCATCAGATTGTGAATCTCAGAGGCTGATCTGGTTGATTATTTTTTTTTATTTTTTTTTTTTCCCCTCCTTATCACCAGTGTTAAAGAGGGATGGTGTTCGAGTTTACTTTTCTTTTTTTTTTCAAAATTATGCTAAAATCCAGACTTAAACATGGTTCAGTTTCGTGGTTTTGATTGGCTGCTGTTTGCCAGGAGCTGCTAATGAAAGCATTTCTTTCCTCAGGCCCAGCATCAGTTTTTGGTGCGAGGGCCAGAGTTTGTCTTGGTGAAAACACTAAGAGCTGATGCTCTGTAAAGCACTAAAAGCTGGTAGGAACTGGAACCAGTTTGGTCAAAAGTTGTGGCTTTGGCTCTGCATCCTTTAAAAGACAAAAACTTATTTCTCCCATCACACATGCTTTATGAAATGTATTAACAGCCATAAATCATTCTTTTTGTGGGGTAAAAATAAAAGGTTTACTCTGTTAAATTTGATGTTGATTTTAAAAACTTAATCTAAAAACTAAATCTAACAGAATATGTTATTTCTTAGACTCTTAGAGAAAAAAATCTTAATAAAAAAAAGGTAACTGAGTATTTTCTATTTTACAGATTTTTACTCGGGTCAAAGTAAAGAGCAAATTGTTCAAATCCTCTACGTATACGCCTAAAATTTAAAAAGATACATAGAAAGTTCAGCGTATGCCAGCGTTTTAGGAGATTCTGGGACATCGGCCATACGCTGTCTAAATCGGCAAGGTGTGACAGAGCCCTAAGTCCCATTTAAAAACAGCGTCAGTTTGTGAATTCAGTCGATCATTTGCTGTTTGATTCCAGTTTTTTGCAGACTCTCTTATATCTCCTATCTGCAGGTCTTTGCTTTGGGCAACAAGACATACGAACACTACAACGCAATGGGAAAATATGTGGACAAGAGGCTGGAAGAACTGGGGGCCAAGCGCATCTTTGATCTTGGTTTAGGTGATGATGATGGCAAGTGAGTAATCTACTAATTGTTGATTAATGAATTACTCATGAATGAGTCCCAAATCTACTGATCAACCCTCAGTTTAAGTAGCATGAATAACTGACTTCATAAGCTAGTTTTTTTTATCCCGATCTGCTTCTTAAAAAGCCTTTTTAATTTAGGATATTTGAAATACTTTGAATTTTTATCATTTTCCAAGCTAATTGACATGCCTCATGAAATGATGCAGCTAATTATCAAACACATGACCTCCAAACAATATCTGAACCATTCAACAACCAAGCACCATTAATTCAGTAAATAATAATTAATGATGCTCTCCTTTTGAATATTTGGGTAAAATAACCAGGAGTATACTGATTACTGTTGTGCTGCATGATTTTTCTCTAATGTGGCATAAACTGGTTTTGGTGGCAGAATATAGGAAAGGAAATATCAGAAAACAGACTTTATCGGAGGAAAACAGGTTTATCACCAAGTCATAACAGCCAGTCATGCCGCCTTAAATATGAGTTAACGTCTTCCAAAACAGTGAGGAGGAGGGGAGAATGAGGACCTCCCTGAGCCTCCATGTTCTGATCAGCAGATCTAGTACAGAACTGGAGGACTCATAAGGAGATTGTAGCATCTATCAAAAAATGTCCTCTTTCCTTTCCTTCCTGGTGTCCTAATCCCTTTGTTTTCTTTCCTTTCTTTCCTTGATCGTGTCCTATCTTCTTTCCTTCCATCCTTGTCTGTCAGTTTCATATTTGACAGTACCGGGAAAGGTTTGGGATTGGGGTGCAGGGTTTTTTTGCTGCAAAAAGCAGTTTTTTTTTTTTTTTTTTTGTGGCACTAGTGGCTCGTTTTTTCGACAGTAGTCTGACAGAGAAGGGGAGAGACATGCGGCAAAGGACTAAAGCCTCTATACATGGGTCATGCTCGCTAACAGCAATACCTGCACGCCCAATCTCTTCTTTAAACTTCCTGCCATGCTTCTCTGTTTCAGCCTCGAGGAAGACTTCATCTCTTGGAGAGAACAGTTCTGGCCGGCTGTCTGTGAGCACTTTGGTGTGGAGGCATCAGGAGATGACTCAAGGTGCACCTTCTGATACTCTCGAGTCTTTTTTTTTTTTTTTTCCCTCGTATTTTTTCTAAACAATTTACTGTAGTGAGCTTTGAATTAAGTTTCTTTATTTCCATCAGTATGATGAGACTGTATTTATGTTTCCTTTATGTGTAGCATTCGGCAGTACGAGCTGAAGGTGCACACTGACGTCAACATGAACAAAGTGTACACCGGAGAGATTGGCCGTCTGAAGAGTTTCGAAGTCCAAAAGCCGTGAGTGCAGAGACATTTTCCTGCAGTGTTTAGTTGTTTAATACAGTAATCTGTTGTAAAATTCAGTGACATACATGTGACGTGAATGAAACCTGATGCCCCCTAGTGGATGCAGAAAACCCCTTCAGAAGAACGCTTTCCTTGCTTTAAATAAATCCCTATAATCAACGTTTTTTCTGTTGACAGGCCGTTTGATTCCAAGAACCCTTTCCTGGCTCCAGTCACTGTGAACCGTAAACTGAACAAAGCCGGCGACAGACACCTCATGCACCTGGAGTTGGACATTACAGGCTCCAAGATCAGGTACAGCTGCTTGGAAACATTTGCAACAACAAGCTCAGGCTTCTGCATGGTGGTCAAAGTTTAAATGCACCTTCTGCCATTTCAGATATGAGTCAGGAGACCATGTCGCCGTTTTCCCCACGAATGACTCAGAGCTGGTGAACAAGCTGGGACAGATCCTTGGCGTGGACCTTGACGTGGTTATCTCCCTCAATAACCTTGATGGTATTTCACTGCCAACACAGACAACCTTGACCATAGAAGCTCCTCCCTTTAACACTATCACGAAATCCTTCACCATTAATCTAGACTCACTCAGTCAGGCCTGTTTGGGGCATCTAAGTGTTGCAACAGCAGTGCTGCATCCAGAGGTAACCCTTGTTTCTCTGCTGCTATAAAATTTCGGCCACAACGAAGTGCCTGTTAGAGAGACATAGATAAAACTGAGCATTCCTCCTGGGGGAGAAAACCTCCCCCAGAGGAGTAAAAACATCTTTATGTACATTAAAATCCATTAACCCTATTAGATCTTTGAAGCATCAAAGCACATTTTTGTCACAATAAAACTTGCTGAAATATTTATACATTTTATAATGTCTCTGCAGAGGAATCCAACAAGAAGCATCCTTTCCCCTGTCCTACCACCTACCGCACAGCGCTCACTCACTATTTGGACATCACAAACCCTCCTCGTACCAACGTCCTGTACGAGCTGGCGCAGTATGCCTCCGACCCCAAAGATCAGGAGAACATGAGAAAGATGGCTTCCTCCTCCCCAGAGGGCAAGGTGAGTTCAGACGTAGCATTGGGTCACTTTTCAACCCTAAAACACCCAGGATTTTGACACGAAGGACTTCTTTGCTGGTAGAGAGGGTTTGTCTTAATTCCCACTTCCTTGTCTGCAGGCTCTCTACCAGAGCTGGGTGTTGGACTCCTGTAGGAACATCCTGGCCATCCTGGAAGACATGCCTTCATTGAAGCCCCCCATTGATCACCTATGTGAGCTGCTGCCTCGTCTCCAGGCTCGTTACTACTCCATCGCCTCTTCTTCTAAAGTAATAACCCCCTTAAAATGCACAGATAAAAAAAAAAAAACATAGTTGATGGAAGCACCTCCTGATGAAACATGTCTGCCATACAGGTCCACCCCAACAGCATCCACATCTGTGCCGTGGTGGTGGAGTACGAGACCAAGACGGGCCGCGTCAACAAGGGAGTAGCAACCACCTGGCTGAAAAACAAACTGGTCAACGGCCACAAATCCACCGTCCCCATGTACATCCGCAAGTCTCAGTTCCGCCTGCCGTTCAAGGCCTCCAACCCGGTGATCATGATCGGCCCGGGCACCGGGATCGCTCCCTTCATGGGCTTCATCCAGGAGAGAGGCTGGCTCAAAGAGCAAGGTGGTTCTTCACGCTTTGTGTTGTAATGTTGGTCTAGTTTTTTTAATGTTATCAGGTGAAGGACTGAGGAGGGGAAGTAAAAATTTGAAATGTATAAATAGGTTCATTAAATAAATGATTTGGTAATTGTTTAAATTATTAATTAAAAGGGAAGATCATTTATTAAGATCTTTAAAAAAAAAAAAAAGTCTGACCCTAACATTTGATAGGCTAAGCCATCCACCAGCTGGAGCTTCCAAACCAATCATTACAGCCATAGCAGCTATGGCCACGCCCTCTGACTGACATACCTGGAAAAAAAGAACATAAATAATTTAGAAATTCAAAAATAATTTCATTTTAAAGATATACACATCTCTAACCAAATCCAAAACACCTATATGGGTTTTTACACACCGTGCAAGTAAAGACTTAGACTTGGACAACCTTTATTGTCATTTTGTATACAAAGAGTGTATGCAAAACAACAGCTTAATTTTCTACAGCTTTCATGGCATTTCCATTTCCCAAAGTGCAGCAGTGTTCAAATGTAAACCATATGGGAGATAGCTTTTGTACTTTACTTGTATTTAAGCATTTAAATCTAATGCAGATCTAACTTCACAGGGAAGGACGTGGGAGAAACTGTGATGTATTTCGGCTGCAGACACAAGAACGAGGATTATATTTATCAGGAGGAGCTGGAAGAGGCAGAGAAGAACGAAGTCCTAACGCAGCTTAATGTTGCTTTCTCCAGAGACCAGGCGCAAAAGGTGAGATTGTCTGTATGGCTGCTGGAGCTGGAAATTACTGAGAGTTTCCTGCTCCCAACATAAAGTAAAAAGTACTTATGTTGTTTTCTTTGCCAGCTAAAGTCATGTAAATAATTTACTATAAGCATCAATAGTAAACATGCAATAGAATAGAACTGTTCTACCCTTCCTGTCCTAGCACTAGTTTTGGTTTGATGTGGTAGCAAACTTGTGTTTGAGCTTTTTATACTCTATATTTCATAAATCACAAAGTTTATTTGCTCACATCTGTGCATTTTTATTTTCCCATTTTCTCCAATCCAGGTGTACGTGCAGAATCACCTGAAGAAGAATAAGGAACACGTCTGGAAGCTGATCCACACAGACAATGCTCATATCTACGTCTGCGGGTAATCGCCATATTTTTGGGAGATATATATTATAGATATTAAGCCCCATATTATTTAGTTTTATCAGTGATTACACTGAAAGTTTCTAGTGGTGCGCCCAAGTAGAAAAATAAATAAATAAGGTTGTTTTTTGTTGATGAGAAGTGCGAAATAAAGCAAACTTTTATTTTAAAACAACAACAAAAACCTAAACAGAAAACTATAAGTCAAGACTAGAGAACTATCAATAAAGGTTTATCAAAAATTATATTTGGGACCTTTAGTTTGTATTGTTAAAGCTAGTAATGAGGAGTTTTATTAATTTATTATAGTGATTTGCAGGATTATTAATATTAACAAAAACTAATGAAAAATAGAATAAAAAAAAACATTTTAATTTGCTGACATAAAGATGAGGTCTAGTTTCCGATTCCCGTTTTTGCTTTTTTGCCGTTGTACCTTATTCTGCCAGCAGATGGCGGTACAGCAGTCAGATAATTTATGTTGCTGCAGCAGTTTGTCCTTTATGGGATTTTATTTCTTTTTCTTTTAAAGACTGTCACTATAACTAATATAAGCTAAACTGAAGGAGCAAGAAAACATGGACGGAATTATATGAGGAGGGGAGATACTGACCTGGTTAAATATGTATTTTATCTGAAGCTCGTAGCTACAAAAGAATGGCTGTCAATATCTTTTTTTTTTTTTTTTCAAAAGATTGAAGAATATTTTTGGCCCCTTTTCAGATGCTTTTATATTGTTTATATCAATATTGAATTTAAATAGACTAATCGGCTAAACTGTATAAACTCTGCACCCTGTGTAGCTTCTTCTAAAAGTTGCTTAAATCTCTTGCTCTGCTATGTTACAGGGCATGAGATTCTTTATAATTTATTTGAATTGTCTTAACAAGCTGATAAATAAACTATCCGGTTTGCTTCGCCCCCAGTGATGCGAGGAACATGGCGAAAGACGTGCAGACGGCTTTCTACGAGATTGCAGAGGAACTTGGAGGCATGACTCGCACCCAGGCTACAGATTACGTGAAGAAACTGATGACCAAGGGACGCTACTCACAGGATGTGTGGAGCTAAAGATCCTCAGGCACAAAGCCTGACTTTTCACTTCTGCAGTGAAAGTTTTAAAGTCCCTGTTTTTTTTTTTTTCTTTTTTTTTCTTTTTTTTTTTTTTTCCATTTTATATATTCTTCAGGACTGAATATGAGAAAACAAAAGTCTTGCTCGTATTCCTCATGAGGGCTACAGGTTAGCTTTGGATGATGAGGCGAACCTCGCCTCAGCACCTTTAGGAGTTAACATCAGCATTTCTCACCTACTCATCCTGCATTACATGTCTCTGCGCCTCCAGCAGGCTGAGGTCCTCAGTCTGACCCCTGGTGTCAGGCGCCTGACTGAGATTTACCTCTTTGGTTTCTAGAGACCGTCAGGAGTGTCCATTATATATAACAAAATGTTGGCTGTGACTTTCAAAGTTTGGAGAAGCAACGTTTGGGAAGTCTGTAGTTTTTCTACCTTCGGCTGGAGATGAGGGTTGTGTATTCCTGGTGCAGTAAGATCAGTTCAGCTTTCACATTAACGGTTGCCGAGTTGCTGCAAAGCTGATCTGGTCGTTCTTTTTCAATACTTTAAACGTGTAAAATACTTTAAGGAAAACTGCTTCATCGCTAGGTAAATGTTTCTATGTATTTTGAGAAGGGAATTGTATAAAGAGCTTAAAAGTGATCTACAGAAAAACATGATTATGTCCCTCTGTCTCCTGCTTGACACCTAAATCTGTTTGAAAGGCTACTTTAAAAAAAAAAACAAGTATGACTGTGGAACTGAAATCTTTACCTGATCAGACGCTGCAGGGAGATTCGGATCGAACGGACTCTGTGTTGTCTGGTACCAGCGTGTAGCAACCATCTAACAAAAGTGTCTGTTTTGTGTTTATTTTTCCGTCAGTCTTTGCTCGTTTACAGAGAACATTTAAAGATGGAGGTAACTGAGACCATCTAGAGTCCACTCTTGTGCCTTTTAAAAAAACTGCCTTATAAGATGTTTGCATTTAAAACCATGAAGTTGTATAATTTTTATTTTCTTTCAGGCTTTTCCATAGAAAATTAAAATCTTAAGAGACACTTTATCTGGCGCTGTCACTTTTTTTGCTCTACTTTTTTAATGAAATTATTTGTATGGAGACATGAATTTATAATGAATAAAATCTGACTAATTTGTTGGGATGACGTCTTTCTTGGTAGGAAAATGCTCGATGTTTGTAGGTTAACCTGCAAATGAAAGTAAAAGGAGATGGTAATGTGTAAATCTAAGAGAGGTCTTGGTGACATGGATTAAAATTAAAATTTTCAGCTTTATTTCATACCAAATCAGATTTTCTCCTCTCATGTTTCATGAAATTTCAGTCATCTCTTCTGGAATTCAACTTTAAAATAGAACTAAATATGAGGTGGGAAATATTTTTGAAAAACCCGTTTGCAGACTCTAAAACTAACACAAGTCAATTTCATTCCAAATTCAGATTGTTTTGAAAATTAAATAAATTGGATTAGTATTTAACATTGATTTATCGCTCAGCTGTAGATGGAGGGGTGGTCTGATTTTCAGCATCGTTAGTTTTGTACATAAGGACTACTATAAATGAATGTTTGAAACTTCCCTGATCCATTTGTAGAATTTTTTTTAAACATATTTTTTAGCAAGAATTTGTATATTTCAGTCCAGATTTTACTTTTGAACTAACCGATCTGGTCCAATGGTTAAAAAAAAAAACCTAAAACTAATGCTTTACTAACTTGACCTTGTTTCATTAATTATGGAGAAAAAAAATCCAGATAAGCTGAATGTTTTGTACTGAAGAGTTTGGGATTTTACAAGAATTGATCATTTTTTTCAGAAATTTAAATCTGAAAACTTACGGCACAAATTACAGTAAATAAATGTTGACATTCATAAAGAAAGATTCACGGTTTTAAATTGGTTGGTAAAATGCAATACTCTCTATAAGCTGCAACAGAAAATAAATTGTTCTGCTTTTCCGTTTTGAGCTCAGAGCATTTTAAACTATCTTCAATGTGTGATTTAAATGTTGCAACAAAAAAAACACAGGAGCCAGCTGAGTGACACAAACAGGATTGTTTCTTGAACTGCTCTGAAATAGGTAAGAACTTTGCACAGTTGAAGCATAAACCTCTAAACATTTAATGCAAATTTATGTGGCATACCAACAAAATCTGATGCACAACTGGTTAGTTGAAGGTTCAGAATATAAGGATATTAGGATTCAAGTTTTTTTTTTCCTCTGGTTGCAATGATTTTGCTTTTTTTATTTTTATTTATTTATTTATTTTTACTTTTTTGCACCACAGGACTGACAGGAAATGGGATGAAGAGAGAGGAGTGTGGACATTAATCAAAGGTCCAGGATGCAAACAAAATTTCAATGTAAAGGTATATATAGGTGAAGGCATATATTTATGACTCAGTCTTTGACATTGAAACTTGTTGTGTGCAACAACAGTGTTTATTTGTCTGCCACATATAATACAAAATGCATGAGGAACTAGTTTTATTACTATATAACATACTCTCTAATCAAGTAATGAAGTCCTCCTATACCCCAAGGTGTACTTGTGTACAAACCTCAATATTGCTTAAAAATGAAAAGCACCACACAGAATCAGTGCTGAGGAAAAATCATCTCTTCATCTGCATATATACAATGTAATATATATCACAGAAATTGTTCTTAAGTCTAAAATTAGTGAGACTATCTCCAAGCCCTAAGAACTTATATACTTATGTCTGCTAATGTTATTCATATATCTGATCATTACATCATCATTTTTACTGCCTCATCATTAGAAATTAGAACAAAATCTACATGCCTCACTTTTATTGAACATAACATTATTAAATGATGTTTTTTAGTGTTCTATAAATAATAATGTTACCCAACTTACTTGGCCTTCTGTTTGTACAAAGACCAAAGCAGGCCTAAATCCGAATAGGAACTTGCATTTGGAGAAAAAGATGGTGACTGCATAAGATACGCCTTTGATCCAGTTTGACCTTCGAGTTTGAACTATTGTTTTTAAGAGAGGATTGGGCATATGATTTAAATATCTAGCTGCAAAGCTGGTCAAACTGCAGTTGTCATGAAGTGAAAAGGTGGTTCTGCAAAGTATGACATTAACTTGTAGCTGAATGCAAATTCTTGTCAAACCTTTTAGACGGTTTCTATAATATATATTTCTTTACATCACAGTTCTGCATTTGCATTTGTGTGTTACATAAACTCTATTTAAAAATATTGAGGTTTTAACATTACAAAATGTAAAAAATACTTTGATTTTTTTTATATTTTAAATCTATCCACAAGTATAATATATTAGTACTTGTACATTAAAGTTCTTTTATAGTTTCATATTTCATACAGTTTTATATTGTTAAAGAACTTTACCGTACAGTATTTTAATTGTGTACCATTTAAGTCCTCACCAATACTTTATTCTTATACATTTTTCATATTTTTTATATAATCTTTTTGCTGCTGTAAACACCAGAATTTCCCCATCGTGGCAAAATAAATGGATTTTCTATTCTTAACTTCTCTATTCTATAACAGCATTTTGATCATTTTTCCTGGGGGAATGTGGGGCATTAGATGCTCGTTGTTTTTATTTTAACTTTTTTTCCCCACTTTATTTTACTTAAATATACAGAATATCTTATCAATGCATTTCTTTTCATTGCTTTTAACGGTAGATACAAAAAAATGTGGTAATAAAAACAATGTGGATCTTCACACCAATGCAAGCTGCTTCCAAAAACATAACAGAGAAAAATGGAAAGGCAAGTAAAAAAGATGAAATTATACATCAAATATAGATTGAATAACGAACGATAAATATATTAAATGCAGAATCATCGTAAATTCTGCTAAACGGTAGGTGGCGCTAGTGGTTTCTTCATTGAGCCGCAGCCAAAGAAGAAGACAGAGCAGCTAAAGGGAAGTGAGGTAGCGTGTTCGGCTCGCGCTGTGGGCTGTGTTGTCTCAACTGCTGCTTTTAACAATCTGCAAAACAGCAAACATATAAGCCACTTTTAAACTAGCTAACCATATAACGTTACACAATGGCCACCGGTAAGTTCTGATATTCTTGATTTATTGTGTGTTTGTTTTTCGTTTAAGAAAGTATGTTGATTCACAATGCGGTTATTAGAACCGCGAGGCCATACGGCGGTGCCGTCTATTACTTGGAAAACAACATACGTAGAAAACGAATGTAACATTCTGTGGTTATTCGGCCCAAGCGTGTTAGGTATTTGGTTTAAACTAAGTAATGTGTGACCTATATGAACCAGCTTTCAACGGAATGAGCTTTAATGCGAGTGTTCAAGTTCGGACAAGTCTGTTGTTTCTAGCGAGCTGGAATGCGTCTTTGTTTATATCGAAAGCAGTAATTCCATTTAAACGGGAAACAAGATTTTATAAGATTATACTTTTTTCGAAGTTAATATTGGCAGAGCTTGTATTGATATAGTATTTCATAAGTTTCAGTAAGTGTCTGAATGTGAATGAGATCGTTTGATTTCCAGGAAGTAGTCAGAGCCCTGGCTTGATTAGGGCGCCATTTTCTTGCGTTTTTGCCTGGGCCCGGCCTACTTCTTTGACCCATATTCGCACTCTTGGTTAAATTGCGAGGTTCAAATAATATATTTTTCGTTCAATTTCACCACCTTTTCCCCCCACTCTTCCTTTTTAGATTCGGGCTACGGTGGCGCACCAAAGTAAGTGTTTACTTGTCACATTCATTGTCCCAAAGGTAAACCTATAAAATGCAGTTATAGGCGATAGAATTGACCACAAAAACTGTTGGTTTTTGGTTCCTGTCAATGAGTTGACCCATGTATTTTATGTTTAATTTCTGTTTTGATATGTGTGTATATTTAAAACTTTCAACATTCCTGAGCAAAACTTGATTATTTTTGTTTGCAGCTACGGGTCATATGGAGGTCAGCAGGGTGGACAGGTAAGATGGTTTCCAAGAAATATTAATTCATTAGGTACTAAATTTTGATTTTATATTATATTCATTATTAATTTCAGGCCTACGGACAAGGAAATACTGGAGCTAGTGGCACCTATGGTGGACAGACCTATGGTGCATACGGTCAACAACAAGGAGCGCCACAAGGTTCAGGTAATGCAGTTCATTGTTTTAAAGGAAGGGGTGATGAATATTTCTTAGACTGCATATTGTATACATTGTTCAATTAAAAGTTGACATTTTCTCATTCAATTTGTTTTCACAGAAGGTTATGGTCAGCCTCCGCAGCAAAGCTATGGTAGCTATGGACAGGATTCAACTGGGTAAGCTAGACGGAAAAACTGACGATTTTTTTGGAGCATTTTATACATTCAAAATTTAATTCTACAGTGTTTTGTTACGGTATTCTTTTCTCTTTAACAAAGGTATGGAGACAAGTCATCTTCGTCTTATGGCCAGCAAGGAGCTGGGTCTTATGGAGGGCAGAGTCAAGGAGGTGGAGCAGGTGGCTATGGCCAGCAGAGCTCCTATGGTGGACAGGCTGCTGGCTATGGTGGAGGCCAAGGGCAAGCAGCAGCAGCAGCAAGTGGCGGTGGCAGCAGCTATGGCCAGCAGAGCTCATATGGTGGCCAGGCCACTGGCGGATATGATGGTGGACAGAGCCAGGGAGGTGGAGGTGATGGATATGGGAGATGGAGTGAAGGTATCGATAGATTTGGAATCATTACCATGGATGTGCACTCATAGTTGCCCTGAATTTTGAAGCGTTAGGCCCCATTTACTTACATTTCTTGATATTTTTGCTCCATCAGGTGAAGGAGGTGGTCAGGGTGGACGCTTTGGCCGCGATGGTGGAGACCGGTCGGAGGGTGGCGGCTTCAGAGGCAGAGGCCGAGGTGGCTATGATCGTGGCGGCTATGACCGTGGGGGATATGACCGTGGTGGTTACGATCGTGGCAGCAGAGGTGGACCTCCTGGTATGGGGTAAGTTGCACAGTGCCACTGCCTCCCCTCCCAGGTATCTCTATGCCTTTTGTATTCGACTAGTAAGTTGTTGCTTAACACATTACCTTTCAACTACAAAACAATGCATGTAGCTGGATTTCAACCATCATCAGTTTTGTGCTCCAGATCTCCCAAGTTTCGGTAATATTTATTTACATTTTCCCTGAGTCCTTTTGAGATTCACGGGCTGTACCATTTCCTAATCTCTGTACTTCAGGTAAAATGCTTGTGTTAAATTAGTGGCTCCAGCTTATTATCTTAGTCAATGGTGTTATTGGTTAACTACATTCTTTAAGTTTTCATTTAACTGCTTAAGCTTATTTTATATGTAATAGAAATGCATGAAAAAAGCAAGAAAATGAATGACTTAAAATGTTCAAAAAACAAATGTATATCTTTATTGTACACTTGAACATGAATAACTAAAATGCTAACATCAGCTTGTTAAAAACAACTCATGCCATCCTACTTATGAGAATAGTTGCCTTATTGATTGTGATTTAATTTTAGCTTCTATAATGTATGCATTATTTCTGAAGATGTTTAGAATTTATTTATTTTTTATCTAAAAGCCTAATATGAGAAATAGGTCTTCCAGCATATTTGAGTGCAACGTTACTCTTATTTAAATGTAAACTCAGACTAGGAATATACATTTTACGTGACAAATTTACATAGCCAAAGCCTGCTAAGGGGTTGCAGCATCGAGGACCTGCTGTTGAATGCTAGTTCAGGTTGCCATTACATGTAGAGTGCTACTTTCCTTAAGTTTAAGTTGGCTCCAAGCTTCTGTTGATGCTTCATTGTTTGCTCAGCACTTACAGTTATCCTTCGCATCCCTTGGCTGATAACTCTACTTTGCGTCTGCATCTCAACAACGTAGACTTTCATTAGCAGAAGTGAGAGCCGCAAATTGATACACATTTTTAAAATGAAATCACCCCCATGTTGGAACAGGGTACATGAATTATTAGAACAGTCCACCAAAGCCTCATGGCATCTCAAAGTCTGGAATGTTGTGTCTTGTCCAAATGATGAACCAAGCCCTAAAAGTTTATATTCTTTGGAAAGAGGTCAGTTTGGTATTGCATAACTATATTTGCCAAGTTGGAACGAAAACTCTTTAATAGGCTGAAAAGACAAACCTGTTGGATTAAAGGTCATTCATAGAGAATCTCAACATTTTAGTCTTATTCATTTTTACTTGTTTGGTTTACTCTTAATCAGTAGTACAATTTGTTCATGATCAAGATGTTTGCAGTGCCTTACATTTACTGAAGCAGTTTTTTTTTTCTTTAATGAAAAATAAAACTGTAGTTATTTAAATCGCAACTAATTTATTTCAGTTTTTAGTTTATGAAATGCTTAAGTGTCAGATCTAAGAAAAATTTTTGCTCAACTTTCCTGTCCATGCGGGTTTTCAAAAATTTTTCTTTGAGTACTTCCTCAATAAGGTTTCCAGCTAGTAGTTCAATTATTTATATTGTTCATACATTTAATATTCTAAACCTTTAATGCCTGGTGATTTTACAAAAATACTTAATCTCCAGCCAGGTTTGTTCTGATGCGGCATTAAGGAAACCAGGTAAACTTTCTTGATAAAACAAGATAAATCTTTACGTTTGCCTGGAGGCTCATCATCAGCTACTTCACATTCAATCAGATTCATTCGAGTAATGTGTATTTGACAATGGTCAGCCTGTTTATTGTGTTAACATGGATCTACATTTTATACTACAGGTATTCAAAGTGAATGAACTAAAAGTGGGACCTCAGTTAACGGATCTTATAAAAGAAATCGTTGGAAGATTGCTCATTGGTTGCTGCACTTCTCACTAATCTGGTTTCTCATTGGAAAAGCAAATTCAGCAGATTTTTTTAACCATATTTTTTGGTATCTAATCTGGCTTTGTAAACATTGGACCAAATTGCTTTCAAATAGTGACCCATTGACATGTGATTGTCTACATTCGTCTGCCAGGATGTTCATTCAGAGCTTCCTGGTATTCTGTGTGTTGATCTGTAATGCCAAAGACTAACTCATTCATCGTGTGAGACGTTTCCACTGTAGTCGCACACCCTGGCAGGAGTGCAAACTGGTGTGGATGTAGGGGAGCTTTGAGCTCTCGGTTGGAACAAAGGAAAAGCCATCATATCTTCAATTTTTTCCTCTGCAGAGGTGGTGACCGTGGTGGCTACAAAAATTTCGGTGGTAAGTGACGAGCATCAGAACTGTGTCGGTGGGGGAGGAGAGAACTTGAGTTAGAAAAGAAACAGAAAAGTGGGTTAAAGGAAAAAAAAATCTCAAGAATGCCACCATTCTCATGTCCAGATTCGCAAGGAACTCCACCTAATGCTATTTCTCATAAATGACTTCAGATATGGTAAAGAACTTGGAGTTGTAAAAAATTGGTAATGCTGCATGAAGATGGGGGTGATTGTAAATGAAAAGGTATTCCAAGGACCAAGAAGGGTAAATCCTTAACGGGAGACATTTTTTGGTGGACTTTACTTCTGGTATAAGCTCAAAGAAAAATGAGCATTACTGTTCTTGTTGCAAGGTAATGGTATTGGTGACGCAACGGTACAAAAAAAGAAAAACTCACATCAGTACAGCTGTAAAACACGGCTTTTTGTTAGTTATCTCTAACTTTGATAGGGTTGATGTTTGTGTGAAACTCCAAAGATTTGGTTTGAACAACCATTTTCCCTAAAGTTTTCCTCTTCTATCCGCTTCTCTGTTGCGTAGGCTCTCGAGATTACGGCTCAAGGGATGATTCAGGTGCAGCATTTTTTATTTTTTTTGTAAATCATCAGTCCTAGGGAGTTTTTGTGGGGTTCTTCATGTTCCTGACACGCTTCCCATTGCCTCCACAGGTGGTGAGCAGGATAATTCTGATAACAACACAATCTTCGTGCAAGGACTTGGAGAAGATGCAACAGTTCAAGAAGTGGGGGACTATTTCAAGCAGATTGGGATCATCAAGGTACAGAACGCTTCCATGGAAAATTTTCCCCTGTCAAATGGTTGAATTTTCATGATTCAACGCTTTCTTTTAGGTGAATAAGAAGACCGGCCAGCCAATGATTAACATTTACTCTGACAAAGCCACTGGCCGCCCAAAGGGAGAGGCTACCGTGTCCTTTGATGACCCTCCGTCAGCTAAAGCGGCCATTGATTGGTTTGATGGTAAGGAAGGTTGGCTGTAACTAGTGTTGCGCCGATGCCATTTTTTGGCCCCGATACCTGGCTGTGCAGTATTGGCTGATACCGATACCATAATAATGTAAAATAATTGCCATCATGGCCCTGTCCGATACTGGTATCGGTTCAACACTAGCTGTAACATTTAGCCTCTTCTTACCATGTTTAGCCTCTAACATCTTTTTGCTCGGATTTTCAGGAAAGGAATTCAATGGCAAGCCCATCAAAGTCTCCTTTGCAACTCGTAGAGCTGAGTTCACGCAAAGAGGAGGTTTCAGAGGTGGACGAGGAGGTGAGTACCTTCCAAGTTGTGTAACTGAAGCACTGCCCCCTAGTGGTGGTTTGTTTTTGAGCAGCTGAGTTTGGGTCTAGGATTCAGAGGTCGTGGTGGTGGAGGAGGAGGAGGACCCAACTTCGATGTGAAAGGAGGGGATTGGCCTTGCCCAAACAGGTTAGCGTTCTGTTCCTTATTCTGTTCTGGAAATGATGCGTTTTGTTGTTGAATTTGATGAATATTACAACTTATCATCAACAGCTCTTGTGGCAACATGAACTTTGCAAGGCGGCAGGAGTGTAACAAGTGTGGTGCACCCAAACCAGGAGATGCTGGTTTTGGAGGTTTGTTTGAGTTTAATTTTTTTTTTTCTCAAAATGCAAAATCCAAACTCTTAAACTGATTTCTCAGTCCATCGTGTTTAACTCTCATGAAACCATTCTCTGGTCACCATCCGCAGACGGTGGCGGCAGAGGAGGTTTTGGCGGTGACCGGGGTGGTGGCTTCAGGGGCCGCGGTGGTTTCCGTGGTGGAGACCGTGGAGGCTTTGGAGGAGGTGATAGAGGTTTTGGAGGTGGCTACAAAATGGGAGGAAGGTGAGATAAAGGATCAGCGCTTTAAAGAAGGTTGATATGTAGTTTTGTTGTCTCACCAGTAGATGGCAGAACCTGATTGAGAATTGAAGACAAATTTTTACTTTGTGGGAAAATGATATAAAATGTAACATCATTTTTCTTAATCTCTGCATCAATTACTGACTAGATCAAAATTATTTATTCAAGGGAAGCAATGTTTATAAACTGAAATGGTCATGATGAACCTCATGGCATTTCTGAAAGTCTTCAATGGAAGGATGTACTTTATCCTTGAGATTCAGAATGCAAGGTGGATATGGCGTCCCCCCCCTTTTATTTAATTGCTGCCTTTTCAATGTCACGAGTGAACAGCCTTTTAAAAATTCAGCTCATGGTGCCTCTCATGTCCTCTCTCTACTCAGGGGTGACCGACGAGACGACAGAAGGGATCGGCCATACTAGAAGATGAAACCATTCCAGACCTTGTCTTTGCCATTGGGGTGGTAGTCTAGTGTAAGGGGAGGGCGGGGTGTGGTTGGGGGGCTAATAACGCATCTGTAGTTTTTTTTTTTTTTTTTTTTAGCTTATTCATCCTGAGTATTACTGATCATCTTTGATTGGAGGATGCTTTGAGCTAATGTGAAGAGGTTTGGAAGCTGATTGACACGTTTTTTTGTTTTTTTTCTGTACATCATTCTTTTGCCTGTAGATTCAGATGGTTTGGCTAGACTTTTTTTTTTTTTTTTTTGTTTTTTTGTATGGATGGAATAAAATGTTTTACCTATGTTTCTGTGATTTATTTTTCTCCTGTATCTTATTAAAACTGGTTGTTTCCCAGTGCTTTGTGTAACTTTGTTCTCTAAAAACCTAAAATACCAAAGTGATGTTGCAGGATTTCATTTTGATAGGACATTAATGGAAAATTGGTTACATGCACCCACAAGCTTGAGTTCCTTTTAGACAAAACGTACATCTATAAAATCATTAAACATAGTATTAGATTGCTTTAGTGACTAGCAAATTGAAGAAGTTAACTACTACCCAACAGAAGGCTTTAGAGGCAGGTGTAGCCAGAACATTTGAATAAGGGTGGCCAGGCAATGACCAATGTACACCAAGGGGATCGGTGCCAGAACCTCAGGGTCAATCTACACTGTATATTAGACTATACTTTCCTTCAGCCTTTGCTAACAAAAAGACTCCTATATTTAAACAGTGATGCTGTCTAAATTAAAGGTGTGGACAAAATTCTTTCAGGTTTGAGATCTTAGTCAATGTCATTACTTGTATCAATAATCGTTCTGCATAAAATTAATATATACATGTACTTATATCTACATTAAATGGCTTATTAAAGTTCTTTCTAATTTTAATGAAGACTCAGAAGTGACTTGCATAGACATAATTTCTCTTCACCCCATAAGACAAAATCTAGTTGTGAAAAGAGCATGACCTCTGTATTTAATGTTAGTATATTGATGAGCATAATTAACCATGTTTTTTTTTTTTTTGTTTTTTTTTTTTAGTAACATAAGAATTAAAATACTAAATTAGAACATTCCACTTAATATGACTGCTGCCACCGTCTGTATAAGATGGAAAAATGGTAGGGGTGGCCCTGGCCCCCCATCTAGAACTTTATAAACTGAGTCAACACTTGGGTTTAATATGAAAATTCATATCAGCTCACCTATAAAGGTGGGTTTCAATGTCTGCCCACCTTACAAAGCTGCAGGTGTGTTTGCCCTGAGCGGCCAGAGGGGCGGTGCTCTTCCTCCCGCAGCGCTCAGCGGCTGTCAGGGATGCAGATCAGCTGTGTGGCTCTCAGGGACTGACAGCCTATTTAACCATGAGGAGACCAGTCGGCGCTGAGCAGAAATGCGCGCTGTGCTGACGGTGTGCTCCTCCCGCCATGAGCCGCCGACCTCCGGGCGGGACATGAGGGTGTGGGTCCTGGCCGTGACAGCGCTGCTGGCCGCTAACACCGCCCGGGGATCCCCGCTGCTGCTGGATCCGGAGGTATGGACCCTCATTCACCCCAAGATTTTTACATTTCCTTTGATTACAACAGCGTTATTGAATGTAGAAAAGTGTTTTCGGGGGACAACTTGTACAAACTTGTCTTTTAGAGGAAGGAAATGATAGAAACGCGTTAATGTTGTAAGTGAAATTAACTTTTAGAATTCCACCTGGAGGAGTATAGGGATTTTAGTGGTAAACGTGAGGAAAATGCTTAAGATAAATTATTTGTATTGTAGTGCAACTTGAATTTATAACCTGTAGAAAACTTGACTATTTTATTTTATTATTTAAAAAATTAAATTCCCATTTGGTTTATTATTGGCATTTCTGTAGATTATTTCTCCCTTCTGCTGATAGAAGTCCCTCATCTCAAACTTCTCCACAGACAGGGGCAGAACTAGATGGGGGGCCAGGGGTGGCCATGGCCACTCTTACCCATTCATTGGCCACCCCTACCATTTTTCCCTCTAATACAGACAGTGGCAACAGTAATACTCTCAAGTGGAATATTCAAAACATTAAATTTTTTTCATATATTACCACTTACTTGACAACAAAAACCCCTTGTTTAATTCTGCACATCAATATACTAACATTAAAGATGTTAAATACAGAATTCATGCTCTTTTCAGAACTAGATTTTTTGTTAAATGGGGTAGAGAGAAAATAATGCCCCTGCAAGTCATCTAGGAGTCTTTAGTTAAGTCATAGAAAAATAGAAATTTTAATAAAAACGTATTAAATAATCATTTCATGTAGATATTAGTACTTGTAAATATCAATTTCATGTCGAAGGATTATTGATAAAAGTAGGTTGGTAATGACATTGGAAAAGATGTCTGCCCCAGATCTCAAACCTGAAAGAATTTTATCTACTACACCTTTAATTTAGACGCCATGGATGTTTAAATAAATGCGTCTATTTGTTAGCAAAGGCTGTAGGAAAGTGTAGTTAGCCTTTATTTTGAAAATATGGATGTTGTTAATTTTCCTGTTGGAACGGTGTAGATTGACCCTGAGGTTCTGGTGCCACCCCTCAGTCTGGCTACGCCTCTGTCCACAGGGGATTACTACACAGGAGTTCAGTTATGAAAATTAGGTAAAATGTTTTTTGTTTTTTTTGGTTTGTTTGTTTGAATTATTACTTTGTTGGCTTTTAGCTATGTTTTTCCCCAAATCAAAGACCCAATATCAATTTAAGTTACTGGCAGAGTCCAGATTTACCAATCCATCTAAGTTTGACTCTCAAATACATTAATCTGAAGCAAAAGAATCAAATCCAAGAAAAAGGTATAAAACCAGCTTCCTCTGAAGGACGGCTAGAATCATTCTTAGAGGCAGGGTGGATTTTCATCATCAAGGCTGAGCGCTAGCAGGATACCCTCTTGGTGCCAGGCGTTGGAGGTTTTCTGGAGATGTCCTACTGGACTTAGACAGACCCAGAACTCACTCAGGGCTAAAATTTTTGTCTAGGTTTACCTCCTGGACCTGCTGCTCTTCATCATGGTGTGGAGAAGAAGGTAAAAGAATGGTGGATGACAGATTTTTGTGTAAAATATTGCATTTTTGGGAGTCTGTGATATAATGTATTTTAGCAAGGTTTCTATGAGTTTTTAAAGAGAAATGTGCCCACAGCATCACAGATCCTCCACTGTACCTAAATATCTATTGCTTTACATCGAAACAAGAGGTAGAACGATACATTAGCTGCCAGATTCTTAATGAAGGGAAGCCATTTTATCTCGACTGCCTTAATTTTCCATCTATTTTTAATGAATAGATTTTTTTTATTATTATTTTCTTTTCCTTCTGCTTATATGTTTAAATTGTGTAATGTATAACATTTATCATAATTGTGTCATTTTTATCACATAAATGGAGGCAGAAAAAGCTATATCGTCTACAAAATTCAGCAGCACATTTTATCCGGGATCAGTTAGACTTATGTCAGAATTATCTGTATCTGTATTATCTGTATTATCTGTATTATCTGTATTATCTGTATAAGTTCACCTCTAATCTGTGTTATCTGAGTCAAGGAAACCTTAAGTCTTGGATTGGAAGTTCCTCATTAAGTTCATATCTTATTAAGTTAAATTTTACACCAAAAGCTGTCTTGGATTTCAAATTGATATGGGTTTTCATATCTATGGGGTGTCATATCCACAGCATTGGCCCATGAAAAGACAACACACACACACACACACACACACAAATATTTGGATTAGGAGTGTATGTGGGTGGCAGTATCATGCTGTGGGGAGGCTTCTCTTTAGCAGCAAAAAGGAGAATAGTTGGAGTTGATAACAGGATGAATGGAGCTTAAAATGGGTGAGATTAAATGGGAAACCTGTTAGAGGCTGCAGTAGAATATAGAGTGAGGTGGTGGTTTGCCTTCCAGGAGGATGACGACCTTCCACATTCAGCCAGGGCTTCAATATCAAGACCTAAATCCAGATGTGAGCCGTAACTAGTCACATTTGCTTGAGAAAATTTTTGACAAAAAAAATACTCTTAGTAGTTCTTCTGCACTGTTTTTTTTTTTTTTTTACTTTTACTTCAGAAATACTTTCATAAAATTTCGCTACTCTAACTGAAGTAAAATATTTGGCGGCTCCATCCGCTCTAAGTAACTTTACTGAATAACAAGCAAGCTTATTTTGAACAAAACAGCTCCAGATAAAGTTTTCCTTTCTGTACACAAGCTTAATTTATATCAGGTGAACCTCCCATGAGATTTTGTGTTTAAGCTGATATATTATATTAAAAAGTATATTATTATATTAATAAATATTTTTATTGATTAATATTTTCACTGGAGGTGCTGTACGCTGTTCTAACAAATGCAATAACATTCCCTATCATGAGAATTGGTGTCATATATTGTTTAAAATAAAATTGATCTGTAAAAGTGTTTTTTTTTTATTCCTGGATTTGTATTTTTTTTATGTAGTCATTTGTTTTATCATCTGATTCTATTCTATAAAGTGCTTAACATGCAGATAACATTACATTTTAGTCTGTCTTTCTACATCAGATGCTGAGACAAGTTACTCAGTACATGAGTAGCATTTTTCTTTTTATAATTTTTTTTTTCTGACTTAAAAACAATAAATAAGAGGCGCTCTCTCTGCAATCTGACTGACCTGATTGCTTAATAGCAAACAAGACTGTACAAAAAGCTCTAGAGGTGCAAAACTGATAGAAACCTGCCCTAGAAGACGTGTTACTTTACCTGCAGTAAAAGGAAGATGCAAATTCACGTGTGATACCTTTAAGAAATGCATTTGTAAAATAAGAAATGCATTATCTTCCTAACAGTTAAGCAGAATCCACACAAGGTTATGCTTATAATGTGCAAGCTGTCACCATATAACATTATTATGCTTCAAGATTTTTAAGGAATTTTAGCCTATATGTGAAATGTGTTTTTTTTTTCCTCAGTTGTTTGAAGGTAAAAGTTCAGTGATAAAGCAAAGGAAACTTAATTTGGATTCTGGTAAAACTATAGATGCGTAGGCAGACCTGCTCAGACTCACCTCTCCGAACAAAACCTTCTAACATTTCAGCTTCTCTTCTTCTACTGCACTCCTGTTTTCTGTAAACTAATCTGTCATCTCCCCTGATTTTAATTTCCTCCTCCACCTCCTGTACATCTGTAATCACTGCAGCCGTCTGAACACGAAGCCTCCTGTATGAACATATAGCGTATCAAATTATAGCCAGTCATAAAACTGCGATTAACATCTGTTTGGAACATGTTTCTTTTGTGTTTAAACACTGAAGCTGCTCTTTATTTCCATGTTTGAAGTAAACACTTTTTAAAATGGTGGCTGTGAATTTCAGGCGCACCTCAGGGGTTATTATGTGTATGGGTGGTCCTTTTGTTAATGATACAGATCAGCAGTCTGATCAGTCCAAATATACATTTAATGTAAGACAAAACATCACATGTGGTCGAATTTGGGTACGGAGTAATCGGTGCTGCTGTTGCAGGATTTTCTGGAGAAGTATGGGTATCTCCATCATGAGCACCAGGTCCACAATGCAGTTGAAGTGCAGTCTGCGATCAGGTGAGTGATTTTAAAGTCGTGTCTCTGATGAGTGTGGGAATCACAGAGGAGATCTAAAAGTTTAGTTATTTTGAGGCGCCTGTTTTGGCTGCTAGTGATTACTGTTCATTATTAGGGGGTGAAGTCTGTGTGGGACAGGCCTCAGGGCTGTACGACACCACCGGGCCGTAAAAATCCCCTAATGTCTGCTCTGGAGACATCTCCTGAACCATCTCTGAACCATTCAGGAATTTTACCAAACCCTCTGGCTCATTTTTCACTTTACTTCTAAGATGGAAAGCTTTGCCGACTACCAACGGCTCACATAGAAATGCTTTGTGATCTGCACTCGTCTCTTTAAATTTGTGCACCTCCCTGCTCTGGTTACATTTCCAATACTGAGAAGCGGTTTCCTTTCTGCAGAGAGTACCAGTGGCTCTCCCGTCTCCCCATCACAGGGCGACTTGACAGCGCCACCCTGAGGCAGATGGCAGAGCCCCGCTGTGGGGTGTCAGATGAGGGCAGCCAGCAGGTCTGGGCGCAGAGGGTAAATGTCATCTTTACTGGAAAGGGACAACTGGATCACCGCAGGAGGCGCTCTGCAGACAAAGGTAACTCGTTTAATCTGCAGCATGAGCGGCGTGTTTGTGTGGGGTATCTGGGAAGATGTGCATGTATTCCCTTGAGGTGTTGTGTCCTATTTTGGTATTTTAAAGCCCAACAGTTAACTGGGAGGTCCCACCTTAATAAAGCACTAAACCCAAGCTGAGGCCTGTATTTAAAGCAGCTGCAATGTCTGATATTAGCTGGAAGGCTTCTGGTGTTTAGCAGCAATCATGCAACAGCAAATAATGTGAAATACTTTCAAAGATATTATTTAAAATGTGCCAATATCCATCTTAAAAAGTGTTCATATATATCTAGCATATACTGAATTTACAGTATGTTTTCAAAATAAGATATAGAGGGTCTTCACTTTAAAAATAATGAGGTTTCAGGCTATTATCGCATATTTTATTGTACTCAGACATGGAGATTGATGTTCAATTAGTTTTGTTTTATAATTCATTTATTTTAAATGTGATTTAATAAAGCAAACTTTGTCGATATGTTGATAGGTTCTTAGTCCTAGCAACAATAAAATGGGGATGAGGAAAAAAAAAGATATTTTTTTATGTACGTTTTTTGGGGGATTGCCCAAAATGAGTATGTTTTGTACACTTGGTAAATGTTGAAAATTATATGAAAGACTCCAAACAACACACATTTTTTCAAGTAATAAAATAGAAACACTGGTTTAATTTATATTTTAACATCTTACCTTGTTTTGGAAACATGGTTGTTTAGCATTTTTCTCTCTGCTGAGAAAGTCTCAAGCCAGCTTCCTTTAAAGATTCCTTAACCCCGGTTTGATCACATGTTTCTGTAAAAAAAAATCACAGCTCTTACATCCTTTACATCGTCATGCGTTATTAACTGTAGGGATAATTTTTGTCTTTAGGGTCCCTAGATTTAAGTAAATTCTTTTTTTGGATAATTTGGAAGTGGCATGTAGTTCTATAAAGTCACTTTTAATTAAAAAATATCTGCAAATATCCACCAGCCGTATTTTGATTGGTGTTAGCAAGTTGCATCTCTATAAGTGACCTTTTCGTCATCAACAAGATCCTAAAAACTGGCCGGATGTTACACTACTCTTCTTATCAGTTATATTAGAGTAATTTAAAGTATTGCATTTTCTGCAAAAGATGCAGGTTATACACACACATCTTTACACATGTATGAAAGCCAATCCAAAAGCTTAATCTGTGCTGGATTTGTAGATTTTAACTCAATTTTGATGAGTGTTTGAGATCATTGTCGTGCCGGAATGTCTTTTTTGGTCCAAGATGCAACCATTGGACCTAAACTGCCAACAACAGAGGAAGGGGAATTAATGATGATAATGAACAACCTGAGAACCGACATTAGTTCAGGTCTGTGATCAACTAGAACAAACTGAAACAGCAGCTTTGACATTTCCCTCAACATTCATTCAGAGCTTGCTGATCAACAATGAAAGGCTCTTAAAAAAAGTTAAATCTCAGCAAACATAGATGTCTACTTATTAAATCCTAATATCTTTTGAATAAATACCCTGCAGCTGTTCGACCAAAATAGAAAGAAGTGTGTTTGAAAAAATCAAATAACTTGTTTCAAACTTGCTACAAAAAACACCGTATCCGCTTTTTTTCCAGTAGCACTGCTGCATTGCTTAAGGTCTGTGCCTTATTTATTTAATCGATCAGATTTGAAATGAAGAGTTTATACATTTATCTGAAAATTAATAGGAGGGTTCATAAAATGCTCATTTTAATTTCGAAACCCACTGACACACTTGTCCCAATTGGGGTCGCAAGGGGTGCTGGTGCCTCTCCAGCTGTCAATGGGCGAGAGGCAGGGTACACCCTGGACAGGTCACCAGTCCATCACAGGGCAACACAGGACAAACAACCATTCATGCATGCACTCACACCTAAGGAGAATCTAGAGAAGCCAATTAACCTAACAGTCATGTTTTTGGACTGTGGGAGGAAGCCGGAGTACCTGGGGAGAACCCACGCATGTTCAGGGAGAACATGCAGAAAGAAAGCAGAAAGAACCCAGGCCGGGAATCGAACCCAGACCATTCTTGCTGCAAGGCAGCAGTGCTACCCACCGCGTCACTGAGCAGCCCATTTCAAAACCTCAATAAATTAAACACACAGTTTTCCAAAATGAATGAAGCTTTATTGGATGCAGAATGCTCTGCAAAGAGTATCTCCAATGTGTCTTTAAAAGCCTTCAGTTGATATGACATTAACGCGTTTCACTTTGAGTGGCTGAAACTCTCCCACTCAGACTCTAGATTGTATTTCTGATTGCCTTCTCTGGCGGCGGCAGATGATCGATGATCGCAATTTTCTGCCGCTTTGTTAAACGGTGGTTAAAGATTGCAGCTGAGCTCTTCCAAACTATTCTGTAGTAATTAAGCCCAGCCTCCCACCCCTCTCTCAGTTTAGAGTGATTTAGAGAAAATCTCGATGCATTAGTATAGGGTGTAATTTTTTTCCAGCTGATGGAAGCACGGTAAAAAAAAGAGGGGAAAAAAAGCAGTTGTAGTTTTCTTCCCAGGCTTTTTGTCTCGGCCATCTGGCTCAATCCATGAATCCTGTGAATTTGGATTTTCAGCATCTCAGTCACAGAGTGAGCCTTTTTCCTCCTCCTGGCTTTCATCCTGATGAGGTGCAAAGCCTGTGCATTCCTTCCATGTCACCGACGATGTTAGTTAATGTTTGGGGAATGCAGTCACTGCAGCGGCAGCTGATGTTTGCTGCTGCCTCTTCATGTCAGTACCTGAAGTGTTCCTTCTGGAGAAAACACCCATACGCACTGGCTCTGGATAGTGTTGTTTATTGAGCTGGTTGGCCATTACAGGCTGCATATTATGCAAGCTGAATAGGGTGATATCTCACAATTGCTAACGCTTCTATCCTTGTTCAAACATCTCATCAGCTTCTAAGAGTCTCTATTTTAGCAGCAGAGGTGACTCATACATTAGTGAGTAGAAGATTGTTTCACACCTCTAGGTTAAAGCTCAAAGAGATAGAGCTGCTTACAAAGACTTAACTACATTTACACTGAAACTAAGTGTGCGATTGCAGTGAAGCATTTCAGAGGGGACTCTAGATAATGAATACATAGCATGCCATTTCATATTTATTAAAAAGCAACCAAGAGTCGCTCTAGAGTGATGAGGTTACAATAGGAACAATGAGTAATGGGATTCTATATTTAACATGAGATTAGAGTTGTAATAGTTACATTTTCTGTTGCAAAAGAAGTTCATAGGGTGAACGGATTTTGCCTTTAATGATGCGGGAATATGTTTATCATGTCCATAAGTGAATTGATATGTATATATATGTATGATCAAAATGCAATTGTGACCAAAAAACAAACACAAGTCTAGATCAATTAAATTTTTCTATTAGCCAAACTTTAAGATTGGCTAAAAGTTTTCTCTCTAAGAAATCCATCTGCTTGCATTAAGTCATTGACTTTGCAGATTTCGCTCCTGCTGGATCAGCTGGTTGCAACAGTAGATATTCGCTCTAATTTTGTTGTTGACTACAGCAATCCCTCACACTGAGCGTGCATACACTGGAGAGGAAAAACGCAATTTTAACACAAATAAACCTCCAGCTGAGCCAGACTCCGTATGAGTGGCTTTCTGCAGAGAAACGTTTAACCAGATGAACTCTGAGTCAGTTTTAAACTCAAAGGGGATGACTTTGTGCACCTACAGTCACAGTAAAAGCTGAACCAATAGGTATATCTAGGAGAGAAACTGGACTAAACACTGAAAACAGGCCCAAATGTATCATCTATAGTGGAAGTCCTTGATGGCAACAGCTCAGCTGATGCCTCCAAGCAGGATGGTGTCATAGCCAAAGAGAACACCAAATCTATGATGAGTAAAATGAGACAGAACATTGAGTTAGGGGTTGAACTAATACAGCAGAATAAGAGAAATAAGAGATAGAATGAATCAGAATGATAATGGATAGATATACACTATATTGCCAAAAGTATTTGCTCACCCATCCAAATTATTGGAATCAGGTGTTCCAATCACTTCCATGGCCACAGGTGTATAAATTCAAGCACCTAGGCATGCAGACTGTTTTTACAAACATTTGTGAAAGAATGGGTCGCTCTCAGGAGCTCAGTGAATTCCAGCGTGGAACTGTGATAGGATGCCACCTGTGCAACAAATCCAGTCGTGAAATTTCCTCGCTCCTAAATATTCCACAGTCAACTGTCAGCTGTATTATAAGAAAATGGAAGTGTTTGGGAACGACAGCAACTCAGCCACGAAGTGGTAGGCCACGTAAACTGACGGAGCGGGGTCAGCGGATGCTGACGCGCATAGTGCGAAGAGGTCGCCAACTTTCTGCAGAGTCAATCACTACAGACCTCCAAACTTCATGTGGCCTTCAGATTAGCTCAAGAACAGTGCGCAGAGAGCTTCATGGAATGGGTTTCCATGGTCGAGCAGCTGCATCCAAGCCATTCATCACCAAGTGCAATGCAAAGCGTCGGATGCGGTGGTGTAAAGCACGCCGCCACTGGACTCTAGAGCAGTGGAGACGCGTTCTCTGGAGTGACGAATCGCGCTTCTCCATCTGGCAATCTGATGGACGGGTCTGGGTTTGGCGGTTGCCAGGAGAACGGTACTTGTCTGACTGCATTGTGCCAAGTGTAAAGTTTGTTGGAGGGGGGATTATGGTGTGGGGTTGTTTTTCAGGAGCTGGGCTTGGCCCCTTAGTTCCAGTGAAAGGAACTCTGAATGCTTCAGCATACCAAGACATTTTGGACAATTCCATGCTCCCAACTTTGTGGGAACAGTTTGGAGCTGGCCCCTTCCTCTTCCAACATGACTGTGCACCAGTGCACAAAGCAAGGTCCATAAAGACATGGATGACAGAGTCTGGTGTGGATGAACTTGACTGGCCTGCACAGAGTCCTGACCTCAACCCGATAGAACACCTTTGGGATGAATTAGAGCGGAGACTGAGAGCCAGGCCTT